TCCACCGTACGGATTGGTAGAGTCGCGCTGCATCGGTGATGATGGACTCGGAGTAGCCGTAGCGGGTGAATGTTTCCTCCATGAAACCAACAAGGTCTCGGGCTTTCGCAGCAGCGGTCGGCTTAGCTTCCACCCATTTTGTAAAAGTATCCATAATGACGATAACATATCGACTTTGGCGCGGTGTTCCTTCGTAGGGGCCTAGAACATCTAGGCTGACCACCCGCCACGGCTCGGTCGGGGCCCGCGGTCTCAGCGGTGCTTTCGCCTGTGGAGGCCCGATCTTCACAGCCGCGCAGGTAACACAACTTTTGACCCACTCGGTGGCGTCGCGCGTTAACTTGGGCCACCAATACCTTTGTCGAATCGCTGTGATGGTTTCATCCCGTCCGGGGTGCGCAGCGTGGGGACTGTCGTGGAGCTCCTCGAGTATTCGGCGGCGAAGTTGTTTGGGAATGTATAGCAACAGTCGGTCTGGGATTCTTCTCCAGATACAATCTTCGACGAGCGCATATTCGTCCGCTAAACACTGTTCATCGTGATTAGCTGGTCCCTCGCATGCCAAACGCTGCAGGCGTGCTTTATCTTGGGCACAGCTATCGTCGTCCCTCTGGGCGGCTACGATTTCCTCGAACAGCGTTTGTTCGTTGATAACATTCAACGTCGGGTGAAGATTTTCGTCGTCGAGCGGTTGTTCTTCGTCTGGGTCGCGGGTCGGGTTACGCGACAGGTAATCTGGCAATTCATTACGATGTCCAGGGACGTGAATAACGGTGAACTTGTATGTCTGTAACATCAGAGCCCATCGCGTGAGTTTCGCCCGTTCGTCCTGGTATCTGCGAAGCCATAGTAACGACCTGTTATCGGTGTACAAGGTGAATGGCTTGTCCTGGAGAAACATCCTATATTTACGGATAGCCCACACGGCGGCTAGCACTTCCTGTTCATTTATGTGGTAGCGCCTTTCCGTGGCCGTAAATTTTGCGGATGCGTAGGCTATTACACGCCGTTGTCCTCCATCGTCTTGGAACAATACCGCAGCCATACCCAGGCTGCTTGCGTCGGTTTGTAAACAAAATGGACGTTGTGGATCCGGACGGCTGAGTTCCAGCGGTTGGGCCATAACTTCCTTAAGTTTGTCGAAAGNTAGGCTATTACACGCCGTTGTCCTCCATCGTCTTGGAACAATACCGCAGCCATACCCAGGCTGCTTGCGTCGGTTTGTAAACAAAATGGGCGTTGTGGGTCCGGACGGCTGAGTTTCAGCGGTTGGGCCATAACTTCCTTAAGTTTGTCGAAAGCTTCTTGTGCGGCGTTTCCCCAGGCGAACTTCTTCTTGGTAGCGAGTAGGTCGGTCAGTGGGGAGGCGATTTCGGCAAATCGTGGGATGTAGTCTCGGAGCCAGTTTGCTGTACCCATAAATTTACGTAGTTCGCGGACGGTTTTCGGTTCTGGGAAGTCCTGGATTTTTACGAGGTGTTCCTGTTGTGGTAGATTTTTCGTCGAGGTGATTACGTGGCCCAGATAATTTATTTGATTAGTTACGAGACGGCACTTCTCCGGTGCGCAGCGAAGACCATGTATAGCTAGCCGTTCCAAAACTTTTTCTAGATGTTGTTGGTGCTCCTGATGATTATCTGAGTTGATTATTAGGTCGTCAAGGTAAACTTTCACGAACTTATGTACGTAGCCCTCTAGTACATTAACCATTAGTTTCTGGAAAGTACCCGGGGCCCCGGTCAGGCCGAAAGGCATGACTAGGAACTCGTAGGTGGCCCCGTCCGGTGTACTAAAAGCCGTGTACTTCCTTGATCCCTCTGATAGCGGCACCTGCCAATATCCGCTACGTAGGTCGAGGGTGGTGAACCCCCTCGCGGTCCCGAGCTCCATCAGAGTATCTGGGATCGGAGGAAGTTGACTGACTTCAGCATGAGTTCGTTCATTCAATAACCTATAATCTACGCAGAATCACTGGGAACCATCCTTTTTTTTCACGATGACGATTGGGCTATTGTAGTCGGAAGTGCTGCGCCGGATAATCCCGTTTTGTAGCATTTGGGCGACTTCCTCGTTGATGATCCTCTTCCTTTCTTCCGAACAACGATAATTACGGGCCCGTACCGGTGTGAAGTCCTTTAAAATAATATGGTGTTGTGTTGTTAGAGTCGTGGTTGGTTGGTCTAATTTGGCGAAAACTTGTCCATGTCGCCGTAAAACCTCCTCGTACGCCCGTCGAGCCGGCTCCTCCAGGTGTTCAACTAACTGAAGCGGCGGCGGTTGCGGTTCCCCTTCAGTGGCGATATGCGTATGCCAGTACGCCGTTAGGCGCGGTTTCTTGCCCAGGTGGACGCAACGGCGGCCGGTGTCGATGACGGCTTCTTGTTCGCTTAGCCAGGGTTGTCCTAAGATCAACTCCTCGCGTAAGTCGGGTACTACCAAGCAGGCCACTTGGTATTCGGTTTCTTGGATATGGATGCTCAATGTAATCTCCCCCCAGGTAACGGTGTCCGTCGTTTCGCAAGCCAGGTATATTTGTTTGTGCAACAATTTCGCCCGTTGCGTGTCGACCAGTCCCGCTCTAATAAAGTTACGATTAGCCCCCGCATCTACGAGTGCTTCGACGCGCTTGCCCCCCACGGAGGTCGTAATTCGGGGTAACAACTGCGCGCCGTATTCCCCAGCTTGGTTGATAACGTCGTTTACGGCTGGGTGGACGTGGACGGAGTTGGCCGCTCGTGTCGCTCGTCCCCCTGCTGCCGGTTGTTGGGCATCTCGCTGGGCCGGGAGCCTGGGGTTTGTGAGGGCGCCCCGGCCCTCACCCAGTTTCCCTGCCTAGCGGGACAATCCCGATGAAAATGTTGGCCACGGCAGAATCTGCACGGCGATGGTACTAGGTTGGTTGGTGGCGGGTTTCCTCGTGGCGTAGCTCCTTCAGCTAGGTCCCGTTGCACTTGAGCCACCACCTCGACCATCTGCTGAGCGTCTCGGAATCGAATTCCTCGTGTGACCGCTCGAGTCTGAGGTGGTAATAGCTAGCGTATTATTTCCAATTTTTCCGTGTCGGGTGTCTCGGGTGCCAGCCTCTTGAATAAATGCCACTTATGTGTTATGAACGTGTAGGCGGTTTCGTCTGGCCGCTGAGGTTGCCCATATAATTGTTTTAACAAAGTTGTCCTGACAATAGTTGAGTTGAATCGTGCCCGGAACTGCCACTTGAATGATTCCCATTCCATTCCAGGCGTATGGATCTGCTCGAACCAGGTAAAAGCTTCTTTGGTTAGCGTCCTCCGGACGACAAATACTCTCGCGGTCGGTGCGACGCGATTCTGTTGAAACCATAATTCCAAGGAGTCGATGTATTCCTCCGGGTCCTCCGTAGGATTTCCCGAAAATTCGAACGTCGGTTCTTCGCGGACGTCGATGGCTCGCAGCGCCGCGACCTGGCGCGTGAGTTCACTCAGCGCTTGTAGCATCGTGACGTTCGTAGTAGCTTGCCACGCGACCGCATCATTCGTATTTGCCGTCACGGTGGTGGCCTCTGCCGCCGCCGAGTCAGCCATTGTCTCGCGTGTTTGTTGCGTTTCGTCACCCTGACGAATTGTACTCGATTGTGGGGCCGATGTTTCATCTAGCGTAAAATCCCACATTTGTATTTGCTCGGCTTCGCGGGATCGTAGATACACGTCCGTGTTCTCTGCCCCACGCCGTTGGGCGCCATGTCTTCTTCTCAACCCTTCCGTTGAAAACGCGACGAATGGGTTGTCCGAATCCCTCGTGGTATCCATGTTATACCTCTTTCTTGAAAAAGAAAGTTTTCGAATTCTTTTTAAGCGTTTTCGAATTCTTTTTGAAAATACCTGTGTTGTTTGTGTGTAGTTGTGTGTGTGTTGGGTATTTGGCCACAGGGCCCTTTTCGATTCAAGTTGGCCTGCCGGCTCTTTTTATCTTTGGCTTTTTTCTGGGATCTGTCTTTTCCCTTTCTTTGTCCCACTTGACTCTTGTTAATTCTCTTTTTTATTTTTATTTTTTTCTTTTATTCCAAACCTCAGAATCCAGCACCCAGCTCCAAGACCGATTTCCAGCATAAGAAATTGAAGGCAAAGCATTAAATTGCATAATGTTTCTAACTCTGAAGCCGAAGTCGCTGTCAGAGGAAAAAGTAAAACTTTCACTCATGTTTCCAATCCAAACCTCAAAATCCAGCACAGAGCTCCAAGCTCGATTTCCAACATAGGAAATCGAAGGCAAAGCATTAACTTACGTAATGTTTCTAATCCTGAAGCCGAAGCCGCTGTCAGGACGGAAAGTAAGATTTTCACCCAAGTTTCCATTCCGAATGCAAGAATCCCGGACAACGTCCTAAGTCCGATGTCTAGTAACACAAACCAAGTCCTAAGCCATAATTTACACAAAGCTTCCATTCGCAAAGCCTATATCACTACCGGAGCGAAGAGAGGAAAAATCAACACAGTTTCGAATCCTGTTACTATCCAGCCGCCTCGAACCAAGACGAAGCAGTATCCAAGGAAAACAAACAAATACGACTATGTTTCAGATTTCCAGCATCGCAGAGCCGCAGTTGAGCCAAGCCAGCCGAATNCTAAGCGTGTGTAAACGCCGTCTACACTTCGTTCAAGCATTCCCGGGTCGATTTGATTTATTTCAAAACGAATACGGTTTTTAAGTTCTTCCAAATCACCTAGTATGTTTGTGTACACACGCGATTCCAAACAGCCCCACAAAAAAAAGTCTAGAGGTGTTAAATCAGGCGAACGCGGAGGCCACTCGATTGTTGTGATATGAATTTTATGCAGAACTTTTTTACCACGCTTTAAGTAAGTTTGATTATGTTCTCTAAACGTCGTTTGTTTACAGTTTATCATTTTCTCTTCCAATTCTCTTCCAATTTATTTGTTTATGTAATAAAACACCTACCATCTATTTATAATCGATTTTTGGATCGCAACTTCCCCTCTTTGACCGTTTCTTTTTTGTTTCAGAGTCTTGAGCGACAACGACAAAAAGCCGTTCATCGAAGAGGCAGAGCGACTGCGCGTGATCCACAAACGGGAACATCCCGATTACAAGTACCAGCCGAGACGCAGGAAGCAGCACAAGGGTCCGGAATCGATGCATCAGCTGCCCCACGGACAAAACGTGACGTTCTCCCGATCCCTCAAGCAAGAAGACTCGCCTTGTAGCCCCCGAAGCCACAGTTCCACCTCTCCATCCACCTGTTCCTCTCAACCGCACAGTCCTCAGATCTCCTCGCAACTGATGAAATCTTGCGAGCAGCACGGGTTGGACCTGGAGTCGTACCACAGGATACCAGAAATCGACAGCAGTTACATGACAGACGACTGCTTGGACAGCAGCGATTTGGACCAGTATTTGCCCACCGAGGCGCAGTACCAACAAATGTACCTCAAACACAGTTTGGAGGAAGATGAGAGCAACAACAACTACAAGAACAAGAGGTTGTGTACTGAGAGCATGGCTCAGAGTGCGGAGAACTACGAGGAGTCCAACGGGTCCTTCGGGAGGTACCACGAGCTGCAGCCCAGTTCTGTGGTGAAGTCGGAGAGATATATCCATTCGAGTTCCTCAGGGATATACTCGTACCAGTCCGGGATGCCGCTTTCCTCTTCGTCCTCTTACTATTCGAACAACAATCACCAGTATTTGCCTTCGTACCAGTATTTGCCCCAGAGGCCGATGTTCGGTTCTTCTTCTGCCATCGGGAATTATGCTGCGGTTGAGGGGAATAACGATTCTTGGGGTCATTACAGCATGTGAACCGTGAGACTTTGGTGAGTGTATTTAGTGTATATACTGTTCCTTCCCAGTGACTTATGCAGGTAATTCTACTCAAAAATATCAATATTATAACAGCAACTGGATTTATACCTAACTGCAACTTAAAAATAACTGTACTACTATTAGAGTATTGGTCAGTTTTGATTTGGTCAACTTGGTCACCAATCCAACAGGTCATAGAACATGCGACATGAAAGTACCGTATCTTTAGGTCGCTTTTGAAGGGTTCCGGACTTAAGCAAGTTACTGTTTCAATTTTGATAAACATGTTTCAGTCAAAATGTCAGTACAAGTGATTTAAGAACTCCTTACAACATATTGGACAAAGAGCTAAACTCCTATTTGGTGTTTTTGTTGTTAACTATTTCAATAATATGTAATGACTTTTAGGCAGAAGCTTGAGTCCTTAAAAACTGTCCTGAAGATGAGGTGCATGTTGTAGATACCGAAACCAACCCAATAATGACCTTACCTTTATCAATTTTGAACTTTGCATGAATTGTATTTCTATGTACCTGGTTCAAGTCTTCTGAGTCTATGAAGAGTTGTTATTTTGTTTTCAAGTCCCAGAATCTTTCCTTGTTTTTCCTTTCTTGGCTGTTCGCAATTTTCCATCCCGACCTCTTCCCGCTCGATGAGAGTTGCATCCATATATTTTTTAATCTTTTTAACATTAACCTTCTCCGTTTCTTGTTATCTCCCCACCGCAACTGTCATTCTTGACGCAATCTGTCGATTATCCCTTCAGGACCAGGTAGTCGTTCTCTTAAATCTATGAATGTACTTTAATCAAGGGTATAGATTCATTTGCAGTGCCTTCTCTATCTGTACAGTTCATAGACGTGTTTGAGGGTTAACTCTGGCGAGTATATTATTCCTTTTAATTATGTTTAGGTCCCGTGCAGACAATTTTTAGTAGTTGTTCTGTATACAGGGTGTCTCTAAACTTCATACAAAAATGTCGAGTACAAATAGACGAGGTCAAAATGATATCAGTTCTTCATATAATTTTTTTTCATACGGGCCTTCGTTAACAGGTTACGGGCCCCCGAAGTTGAAAATTAAAAAGTTAATTTTATTTACAGTCTCTAAACTATTAAGTTCAGCATGATGCAAATTTGGTGATCAATAACACATGCGCGCAGCTTATTTTTGTCGTTGTAAGTGAAACTTCATTATAGCCAAAACGCCAGGGACGGACTTTGCCCGATGGTTAACATTTTTTAAACTGTTAATTTTACCGAGTTGTACCAATTATCGTTGGCAGGTAACTTATTTTTGATACATTCAGATTGCGATCGTCCATGCAAACAGTCTGGGTTTTTAACCATTGGGCGTAGTCCGCCCCTGGCGTTCTGGGCATAATGAAGTTTCACTTACAACAACAAAAACAAGCTGTACACATGTGTCATCGATCACAAAATTTACATCATGCTGAAGTTAATAGTTTAGAGACTGTAAATAAAAATAAGTTTTTCATTTTTACCTTTGAGGGCCCGTAACTTGTTGACGAAAGCCCGCATGAAAAAAATTTAAATGATGAACTGATATTATTTTGGCTCATCTATTTGTGCTCGACTATTTTGTATCAAGGACCGGGACGCCCTGTATAGCATGTGCGGCACGAGCTGTCGCGTTTTTTTATTTTAAAGGTGATATATCTGTAAAATATGAATCTCCTGTACATAATCTCTTGAATATACTGTTAATTTTCATATATTTTTATATATCTGTTCGTTGTGTACAATTTAGGATGGCTAGAATGCGGCGAATTAGATAAAGTATGTACTTTGTATTTATTATTTTTAATATATTTAAGGTTAACTTTTATTTTTTCTTAACATTTTCTCGTACCCTCGTATACACTGTTTTAAGTGTAGAGTGTAATATTGTTTAGATCTGTTATAGTTTAGTACAGTTGAGGTGCCGATTTATATAACTTGTTCTTTTTTTATATATAGAATAAAAATATTTTCTTACGGTTCTTGTCTGGTATCATTTCCAAAAGTCACCTGCTCCACCAACCTCAAATATAATCAGCAACTAGAGGATGTTCAATTCTCCATATTTATTAACCGACATATTTCTACTAAACGGCTGTCAAAAATCCAAAACCGTTCAAAAAAACACAAACGGCGGCAAATTTAAAAAGTTTGAACACCCTGTACAATAAATCTAGTCTGTTATGATGCAAGTCGACAATGAAAAGGTAAGTGTTTTTTTTATTTTTGACTTGTTTGACTTAAAAAGGTTTCATAAGTTTTATTTTATTTTGAAGAAAAATATACAGGGTAGGAAAGTACCGATGGTCTATCAGAAATTACGTGAGAGCGGTAAAGTAAGCCATAGAAATCCATGTGATAGACAAGGATGGCTATAATGAAGGCGTCTAATAGTCAACGCCCATTTCGCCCTTCCACAAATAAGATCCACTTCTTATTTGTGGAAGGACGAAATGGGCGTTGACTATTAGACGCCTTCATTATAGCCATCCTTGTCTATCACATGGATTTCTATGGCTTACTTCGGTACTTTCCTACACTGTAGTTTTATCGTTTTCTGTAATGTGTTCCCCAGTTTTTTGATTTTTGTGTAATCCAGTATACGAATTTATTTTAATTAACTTAAAATACCAGTAAAATAAAGTCAAACATAGGGGACCTGACGAAATATACAGTACGCGCCTAAAGTATGGAATAAATTCAGTAAAAACGAAACAATTTTTTTTTGGGAAAAATCCTCGGAACAGGTCGATTTTTAATTTAAAAAATACATATTTTAGCATAAAACGCGATTTTCAACCGTCATTTGTTTTCGAGTAATGACGTCATCGACATTTTTTTTCAATAGCAGCCCCCTATTTTTTTTCTTGATTCTGAAAGATCGTTTCATTGTCGATCCGACAGTGTTAAAATGTTGCCATCTTTCAGAATCAAGAAAAAAAATGTCGATGACGTCATTACACGAAAACAAATGACGGTCGAAAATCGCCTTTTATGCTAAAATATGTATTTTTTAAATTAAAAATCGACCTGTTTGAGGATTTTTCCCAAAAAAAAAATTTGCTTCGTTTTTACTGAATTTATTCCATACTTTAGGCGAGTACTGTATGTTTTAGTAAAAAGGGAACATACTGGTTGGGTTAAAAAGTAATTCACATTAAACTAGTCGTATTTGTCAATACTTTTGACACTGCCGTTTGAAAATTTAATTTTTTCTAAAAGCCTTGTTTGAAATGGTAATTTTTAATCCGAAGAGTGTTGTTTCTCGCGCTCTGTCTCACAAAGAAGTATTTTAGTAGAAAATTGTACATTACTTTAATGAGTTCTATATTTCTAATACCGAGGTTTGCTTAATTTCTGTTACACCTTGTATATTCGCTCATCCCTGATTTAATTTTAGTAGGTACGTAATAGAACGTATGTCGACGATTGCTCAAGTCGATACGGACTACTACAAATGTAAATACGCGAGGGGTTCATTCAGCGTACACTGTTTATCATCTTTTATATATGAGACGAAATAAAATGAAATAAATGCGAAGTTAAATACCTTCAGCATTGATTCCTGTTATTTGCACAACAATTATCACATGGGAAATATAATGCGAGACGTATCCCATACAAAGGATGTTTGCATACTGAAATAATTTATAATTTTGTAATGTTGACAAAAACAATAACCTCTGATACATTTCTGGAGGCGAAATGGTTTTTGGTACTCGTAGATAATTAACTAATTTATTTATTTCTATGTTTAATGATTGACTTTCGAAGTAATTAAAATATAGTTCGTATTCGTTGTCCCCTGAGGCTGTTGTAATGTTCACATTCAATGATATACAGTTAAGTTTAATTGTTTCATTTGATTTAATCGAAAAGTTGTTGAATTGTTTATCTAAGACGTCTATATTTTATTAGCTTGCCAATAGAATAATGGTAGTCACAGTGCTAATGCAAGAAGTATTATGTCTGTTCAAGTATTTCTAATTTTAATAAAACAACAGGTGTTTTATGGGAAGTTTTGATGGTTTGAACAGATTTTGTCATGTGTTTAATGTATGAAATACTAGACCAATTTTTACGGTTTGAAAATGGGACTCTCTTGTAGGATGAACTACTTTCATACCTGCAAAATAATGGTGCCAACAGAAATGCACAAATTCAGTCTCTTCACTTTGGGTGATATTTAAGTGTGCTTTTCCTTGCGTTCGGCAATTTAAGGTGATTCACAAATGGTGACCAAAAATTAAACCAGATACATGGCTTAAACTTTGTATTGCGTAGCGTTGATTTGTGAAGCTGCTCTAAATTAAATTTTCGCATAGAAATATGATGCCATTTTTTGGGTTTTGGAATTTACTGAAACCTGCTACCAGAAGAAGCCTAGTAAAGAGATCTACCACTTCAATAGAGCATCTTATTAAAAGATCAGATTAAAATAGGAAAAATTCTTAAAAATTAATGCGATTGAATCGTCCTCTCTTTCTTTTTAATTCTCTATTCTATTCTGAGAACTGTTAATGCAGAATTGGCAGTCATTCTTTCTTAAAGCTTGTTTTACATTCATCAGTTTTTAACCTAATAATTTGACCAATGAATTGACCAAGTTGTGTTGGTACATTAATTGTGGTCAATTTCCTAGCTTCGAGAAATTGGGTAACAAATTGATTGGAGACAATAGAACTGCTTTTAATTTAAATAGTGTCAATTTCGCCTACATTCTACAATTTTCTCATTGTTCAAGCTAAGTTACTCAGGTTTAACTTGCAGGTAAGTCTATTATGGGTTGTGGTTTGCTATTGCCCTGATTAATTTTTATTTTAAAGGTTTGGCAACCTCATATTTCACCAATAAATTGGGCCAATATTGGACCAAAATCAGTTTGAAGTCTTGCTAAAACAAACTACCTTAGAATGCGAGACAATAAACCGATAAATTAATATCCATATCCACATTACATTCCGCGCATTTCATCCACTCGGTGGGCACCGTCCGGCGGGGAACGCGAACCTAATTAAAAAAATTATTCAATTGTTATCGTGATTGTTTCGAGAATATTTCACAATTCATTCATTAGACGTACAAAAAAAATAAACCCACGGCACACGATTGCCTTAGCATCACGTCATTCCGATTTACGGGCCCATATTCAATCTCGGTTCGAATGGTACACGAATTCTGAAAGTCACTCCGAGTCTTGGGGCTTTGCATCGCTCGAAACGCCGCCGAGTAAACAATCCGGGAAACTTGGACGTTGGCTGTATTGAATTTAACCTCACACACTTGACCCTCCGCATATTCATGTCACTCCATCAAATCACTCGCTGGGTGTTTGGGAGTGTTGAATACTCAATCTGATATGGGGTGGCCGGGTTCTCGGAATTCTGTCGACGGTGCAGCTAGAATTATAAGAAACGGTCGATGATGTTAATGAATCGCTAATAACCCGCGCGTGAAGTAATTTTTTTCGTTGTAGCTTTAAACGCAGCTGAGCACTATACTCCATTTGAATAACTTCTCAGTAGGGGAAACAAGGTCACTAGATTTACAAACAGAGGTATCTACTAGCTACTGTAAAAAGGTTTCTTTGTTACGCGCTTTTTCTTGGTGGCGTGTATGAATTATGATTTCGGAATAATCCCAGAATCCCAGATTTCTGTCAAGCAAGGGTATACAGACAGACTAGCTCTGTGGATTAAGCTCGAACAGAGACTGTATAAATTTTTATTAACTTAAATTTAAATATAAAAAATATGAGTTTTTTTTTTTCAAATTTCAAACAGTTTTATCTCCAGCTCTTGATGAACGAAAATATATTTTAACGGATCAAAATAAAGGCCTTACTACCAGCTTTCTTATCAGTTATTAAGAATTATCGCAATAAAAAATATGTCGAAAATCAAACTAAACCCAATACAAAGCTTTCTCTTTTTCATGTAATTTTTTTTATTTTAAATTTTTTATTCCGTTTTATAGTT